TTTAAAAGGATGCTATCAGGTTAGAAAATACAGGGAAAGAAACCCATGATGCACTAAAAGAAGAAGGACAAAAATGACTTTAAAATAATAATAAAAAACAAGCCGCGTTTTACGGTCCCCACCCCTTTTGCTCCAGACCCTTCAGACTTTTAGCTTGGGTTTCCCGTTTTCCAGCAGGGTGCAGTAAAGTCAAGTCATAAGCAGGAGTTAAATGCAGGACCTGGTTAGTAGATACTTCGGGAATAATCTGGGTGAGCTCATTCCTCCTGTGGTTCCTCTTAGCGAAGCGCAGCTCAAGATGGTTCATCAGTCATCCTGCTGCAGCCAAATGCCTTTTTCGGCCAGCTTGACCGCTTAGCTGTCTCACAGGCAGAAGAAGGCAGACCTGGGAGCTGGTGAAAGCTCCTTTTGAGCCCAGTTGAGACAAAAGGTGAAGGACCTGTTGGATTTGGGGGAGGGGGCTAAACTGGTTTGGGGCAATCACGGTTGTCTATTTATGATATATTATTATTCATTGAATATATATACCGCCCTATAGCCGGGGGTCTCATAAATATATTTAATTTAGGTAAAGGTAAAGGGACCCCTGACCATTAGGTCCAGTCGCAGATGACTCTGGGGTTGCGGCGCTCATCTCGCTTTACTGGCCGAGGGAGCCGGCGTACAGCTTCCAGGTCATGTGGCCAGCAGGACTAAGCCACTTCTGGCGAACCAGAGCAGTGCATGGAAATGCCGTTTACCTTCCCGCTGGAGCGGTACCTATTTATCTACTTGCACTTGACGTGCTTTTGAACTGCTAAGTGGGCAGGAGCAGGGACTGAGCAATGGGAGCTCACCCCGTTGCGGGGATTCGAACTGCCGACCTTCTGATCAGCAAGTCCTAGGCTCTGTGGTTTAACTCACAGTGCCATCCATGTCCCATATTGAAATTATATCCCACCTTTTTCTCCAAAGAGCTTGTGTGGGCGTACGTGGCTCTACCCTTCCCATTTAACTCCCATGACAACCCTGCGAAATAGGCTCAGCTGAGAGGCAGTGACTGGCCCAAGCTCACCCAGTGAGTAAGGATTCGAACCCTAGTCTCCCAGGTAGTCCAGCTCTGTGCTGTTTATGGAAACACTTTCTTTTATCTGCCCTGAATTTCCCTACATTCAGCTACGCCGAATGCACACAAGTTCTAGCATATTATGAGAGAGGGAGAGAGATTTTCTCTTGTTCACTGTAGGGCAGTGAATTTTTGCAAACTTCTACTTGGCTTCTTTCTTAACTAAAAAGTCCCAAACGCCACAAACTTCCATTGTAGGGAAGTCGCTATATCCTCACCCTTTTCTGAACCTTTCCCAACCCTGACATATCCCTTCTGAGGCCAGGTAACCGATTCCAAGGAATCGCCCTTGATATCCCAAGAAGAATAAGAGTTTAGATTTAATATCCCACTTTATCACTACCCGAAGGAGTCTCAAAGCGGCTAACATTCTCCTTTCCCTTCCTCCCCCACAACAAACACTCTGTGAGGTGAGTGGGGCTGAGGGACTTCAAAGAAGTGTGACTAGCCCAAGGTCACCCAGCAGCTGCATGTGGAGGAGCAGGGAAGCGAACCTGGTTCACCAGATTACGAGTCTACTGCTCTTAACCACTACACCCAAGCAAACGGCGTCTTTCCGGAGACCCAGAGACCTGGGCAAACATCTCCAGGAAGACTCCAATGTGTTGGGTCAGCCCCTGTCCTTAACTCTCCACCTTGCCACAGCCTACTTTCCCCCCTTTACCTAGAAGGGAGTTTCCCATGTACTTCTTTCATACGTTTTAGGACATGGAGTGGCATTGGCTTACTGTCAACGGCGTTTTGAGGAACGGTCACCCAAAGACTCCACACACCTGGCCATTTCTCCCTCATTATTTTCTGTGTCTTACTATCTGGCAGTCACACCGAGTGCCTAGGAATCCTTGCCTTCTCATCTTGACGGGAGGATTTGAAATAGAATATATTGATTTTGGCAGATTTGCCTCAAATGATCCTCTCTTCGTCCTCCCGCCGGCCTGCCGCACACTCACACCTCCCTCCTCCCAGCTCTGCTTCTGTAATTAGAGAGGAAGGGGAGAGAAGAAGGCGGCCATTTTGGGAGGCGGTTTCCCTCCCCCCTTCCCCGCAAAGGATCCTTAGGGGCTTTGTTTGTTGAAGCTTGTGACCTTATCTACCACATCTCAGGGATCTTTTTAATGCCTGAAAACAACTTTGAGAGCATTAGTGGCGAAAACAAGACTTAAAACCACTGTAGGCTAAAACAATTTGTGTTCTAAAAGAGGGATTTGATCAAAGGGGTGAAAAAAGCACTCAGAATTAATTGAGTGGAGCTTTCTCTCTCCATCTCTCTCAGCTCCTTTTCTTGCTCTCCCTCTTCTCTCGTAGTCTAGCAATGTCTTGGGAGCTTCGGCCCACGTGGGGAGTTTCCTCCAAATGAAAGGGGTCTTCCTTGTTTGTTTAAGGGTGAAGGTTGGACACACACGTCCTTTAGAAGGCAACGGACACCCAGCGCCTCCTTGCAGAAGTGACTGGGAAGACCTACGCACAAGGGGAGCTCCATATAAACATGGAGGTGTTTCTACAGATCTTTACCCAATGGCCTAGTCGTCAATTCCGGACAGGCTCTTTTGGAGCACTTCACAGCCCGTTTTGGGATCTCCTGAGCCACTTTTAGTTGAGGTTAGGCTGGCCTCAATCAGAGTCAGGGCTTTTTCGGCCTTGGCCCCGATCTGGTGGAACGCTCTGTCACAAGAGACTAGAGCGCTGTGGGACTTGGCATCTTTCCACAGGGCCTGCAAGACAGAGCTGTTCCACCAGGCCTTTGGCCAAGGCACAGTCTGACCCCCTCCTTTGGTAATCCTCACAGAACTCTAGCCCAATGGTTGCCATTAATTTGATTTTGAATTGTTTTTTGAATGAATTGATTTTAGAATGCATTTCAATTAATTGATTGTGATTTTATGTAAACCGTGTTACTTTTATTGTTGTTAGCTGCTCTGACCCCAGCTTCAGGTGGGATATAAATAAACTATTATTATTATTATTATTATTATTATTATTATTATTATTATTATTAGAACAGCCTGCTGGATCAGGACAATGGCCCGTCTAATCCAGCACCCTGTTCTTATGGTGGCTGAACAGATCATAGAATCATAGAATCGTGGAGTTGCAAGGGACCTGGAGCGCAGTCTAGTCCAACCCCCTGCAATGCAGGAATCTCAACAAAATCATCCATGACAGGTGGCCATCCAACCTCTGCTTACAAACCGCCATGGAAGGAGAGTCCACCACCTTTCCTGGGAGTCTGTCTCCTGATGTATATTTTCCTCTAGGAGGCCTAGCTTGGTCGGAATCGAGTACACACTTCCAGAGTTAACACTAAATACATTACTTCTGGTAAATAGCTGCTAGAGGGCCGTGAAAAATTGTGTCTCGTGCTTTTTACACTCATCTACTCATATATTATCTGAACGAATGGGGCCCATCGGTTGCCAGAATGTGATTCCCCCCCCCAACTCTCCTGACCCCACCAATAATGGCGTATGCCAGTGGTTTTCAACCATGTTCCATGGCAGCCTGGGGTGTCTTGAAGAATGGTCAAGGATGCCGTGGGCAACCACTGGCGTCTGTCCCTCTTTCCTTCCCTGTCTCCTCTGATGCCCTCTCATGTCTCTCCTCCCAAAGTCTCGGGGTGTGTGTGTGGAGAGTTCAGGGGTGTTCAGAGGACTCTCAAGGAGAGGACGCTGAGGGAACACTCCACAAGGGAGGGTGTTCAAAAAAGGTCGAGGGGCTGCCAGTTCTGCAAGCAAGTTTGCCAGTAGAAGGAATGATGGTCTCTCTAACCATGCCTCGTTCTGCCACCCAACTTGGATTCTACAGGCGCCCGCCTTCTGCTACTTTTGGCACCACCCTCACAAATGCATTTGGGGTCCACTCTTCTTTCTCCAGCCTTTACCTGCCTCGGGAAAGAACCACAACCACCCTCTCCTCCCAGGGAAAGGATTTTGCAAGACTGGTAGAACAAGCGCACATTTCTAAGCACAGAGGACACCCCCCTCCCTGGCAGCAGGTATAGAGTTGAAATAGAAGCCTAAGTGGTACACGAACCCTTCAAGACCAGCAACTTGCAATTGCCCCGTCTGCTTATGGTTCACCATGAAAATGAGCCTTTCCACCCATTTGGCAGTTGAACTCAGAGTCCACCATCTAATGCCCCTTTGCAAGCTTTGTTGAGGGCTGCCCAGGAGTAGTCCTAAGCCGAAAGCTCCTTTATCCTGATCAGAAGGCATCACATTATAAAGACTGACCACCCCTCCCAGCCGTACAAGGAATGGAAAATGTTCTGACACAGAACTAGCGATATGCGTAAACTGGACAGCCCTTTCAGTTTGGAAACCACAACATCAACTTGTGTCTTTAACACGTTCACCAACTACGAGATTCACAGGTCACTGACAACATCCATCCCACTGGAACGAGGTTTTTACGCAACTTCCCATTCATTTCATGGGAGTTTTCCAGGGGAGACTTTCAGAGCGGAATGTTCCTATGACCCTCCTTGTCAGCGAACAGCCAGGGGAATCATATTGGCGATGGGCATCTATGCGCACGAAATGTCTACCCCCTCTTAATACCTCTTCCAACTCTCGTTTTTTAGATGTCTGAGCTGGTGCTGGAGAAGAACTGGGGAGTTGACCTCTGTGTCTTGCAAGCTTGACAAAAACGGGGTATGGGGTTGGCGGGAAAGGAGGGCCCAGCATGATGCCAGATCACTTATCTTGTCTCTCCCTTTTCAGCACCAACAACAATGCTTAAAGATGTCCGGTCCCACTTCATGTTTATACTTTCTGGTCTAGCCCTAGAGGAGAAGGCAGACCCCCTCAGAGACTGAATGGTCAGGGTCCATGACACGAGAGACGCTATTGGACAACAGGTGACGTTCCCTTGGCCCCTTCCCTCCCTGAGCAGTTACCTGTGCTAGACCTTGCTTATCCAGAGTTTCCCACAATGCTTCAGTAGGGGCGGTTAGCATCCTTTGGCCTCTTCAGCTGCACCTTCAGCCTCTTCATGCCAATCTGGAAGCCGTTCATAGCCTGGATGGCAGCTTGGGCACTAGCAGGATTGTCAAAACTCACAAAGCCTGTCAAGACACAAGGCAAAGGCGCAGGGTTTAACCAGCTGGAGGGGGTCG